TGTTTATTTATGAAAATAGGAAATGTCAAGAATTTTCAAAGTGTGCAATATTCCACAAGAACCATCATTAGATGTCTGGGAATGGTTGAGAGAAAGAAATAGGCTGCTCTCATTTAATGAGATCTTGTCATCTTGTTAATTACAAAATAGGAAATCAAGACAAAATAGCAAAACAGAGGCCCATCTTACTGTGCTTCTGGTGATCAAGGGCTGTGCTTCATTACTGAGTTCCTGGGGAGAATAAGACATTGGCTCTGCATGAGGTGATCAAATGAGCTACTACAACAGAACTGTCAGATTCAGTCAAACATTAGTTTTAATGAATTCTTCTCATGGAATTGTTCTGAATGCAAGTGTATGCTCTAGCAGAGCAGTATTGGAACCATTCTAATCATAAATGTAAGTGTACCCATCAGCCACAGCTCTTTCAGCCATGGAGAGTTATTGGTGTCATCTTACCACTCTCCCCCTCGGAGAGGAGAGCTTTCCATCTTAGTTTTGCCATAATAACCTGAGGACCATGGCAAATCCCAGCCTCTTCTGAGCCTTGTTTCCCTATCTTTAAAATGAGGAGTTCCATTAGATGTTCTCAATTTGAACTTTCCCAAGCTGTAATTATTATGAGCTTGGGACATTAGTTCAATCAAATTTGGAGGGAACTAAAGTTATCAGGGACTTACTTGCTGGGCTTAGTTAGGCAAGCTACTTAGACTCTAGAAACTTCAGTTTTTTAATCTACATGTTGAAGAACAGAATACTATTTACCTTCTAGGGTTGTAGTGAGGAGAGTTACAGGAAACAATGGCTCAATGGTAGGCATTCAATAAATATTAGATATTATTGTGATTTATGATAAAGTTGGTAGTGTATTTTGGAAATCATCACATTAATTCCATCCCATTGTTATTTATACAAAACAGTACACTAGAGCTATGCATTTAACTTCAAGCTTCCAGTTAGGTTCCCATGTATAACATTTATTTTAGACATGAAATGCTAGTGAACATTAATAATAGTCAACACAGCTTGACTCTCTTGATGCCATGCCTGTTGCTGGGCCTGACAACGGTGCATTGCTTTGCATCCCATGCAGCACTTATTCTGTACAGCAACTCTTTAAGGTAGATGTTGCTATCCATGTTCAATTGCTTTATATATACCACATAATTTACTCTTTATAATAATATTAGGTAGGTATTTTTTATCCCTATTAACAGATGAGAAAATGGAGGCTTTCAGAGGTTTAGTAGTGGGGCTGGTTTTCAAACCCAGATGTTTATGACTCCAATGTTCTTAGTCACCATTGCATATTACATGTCATGTCATGTTATGCATATTCCAGTATGGTATCTCTCACTCATGCTAGGAACAGTACCCCCCCACTGTTGCCCCCACAAAGAATTGGTATTTTCCCCTCCCTTCTTTGTCTACAACAATTATAGCACTGTTTCTTCCTTCATATGTTGTTTTACAAGGAAGATTAGGTCCAAATTGGTGGCTCAAATATAGTGATTTTATAACGCGGATAATTATGATAATGATATCTTGCTCTCTTATTTATATTTTGCCCAGTCTTCATTGTTATTTTTAAATTTGAATTTTTATTCAACCATCTGTTTATTAAAATAGCTCCCTTTAAGCCATAGTCAGGTCTTTTGTAGAACAAGACAAGTGAATGAATAAATAAAAAAAGCCTATTTTCATAGCTTGATAAATTGTTCGATAAGATGGATTAAGGACCTAACAGGTATTATTTGAGAGCAGCCATTGCTTCTGGTTGTTTCCTCAAGTTTTATAAGTCCCAAATAATTCAAGTGATAAAATATATATTTTTGAGAGTCAATATTGTGGATTACCTCTGTGAGGTAATAAACATCTTTAAGAATGGCCAAGTCTAGTATGCCATTCAATAACTGTTGACTGGCTAGCTAAATATTCTGAATTAATAACTTTCAACGTATGTATCCGGTGAAGCACTCCTTCACAGGTATTTTATAGCATATAGACAAAACAGAAAGGTGGAGGGGCACCTGGGTGACTCAGTCGGTTAAGTGACTGGCTCTTGACTTTGGCTCAGGACATGATCTCAGAGTCCTGAGATCTCTGCACTCAGTGAAGATTCTGCTTGAGATTCTCTCTCTCCCTCTTCCTCTGCCCTTACCCCCACTGTGTGCGCACACATGCTCTCTCTCTCTTTCTCAAATAAATAAATATAAAAACACCCCCAGGCTCCCCCAAAGCCCCAGAAAGGTGGATAATAACTTAGAAAACAGTAAACAAGGGGGAGGAGTCATATTTCAGTCTAATCACTCAGAGGAAATTCACTTTAATAGCAAATTCATTTCTTCCAGAGAAAGAAATATGCTAAGATGTGGCAGAGGTAATTACGTGAATAGCACTAGGCAGTATGGGTTCTTTGAATGCCTTTACCAGATTGTAAAATTCCCTGTGAATGGTTCTTAAGATCAGATATGATACATTCAAACAGATTTTATTTATTTTTTAGAGAGCGGGAGAGAGAGAGTGTGGGGGAGGGGCAGAAGGAGAGGGGGAGAGAGAATCTTAAACAGGCTCTCCACCCAGTGTGGAGCCTGATGGGGGGCTCAATCTCACCACCCTGACATCATGACCTGAGCTGAAATCAAGAGTCAGACCCTTAACTGACTGAGCCACCCAGGCATCCCCAGATATGATGCATTCACATTCTGAACTATGTTTTAAACTACTTGTATGGTTCTAACTTATACAGCAGTTTAACTTTACTAATCCCACAGATATTTATTGATTCCCTACTGTGTTCCAGATTTGGGCTTGAGATACCTGGGGGAACAAAATGGACAAATATCCTATTCTTACTGATAGGCTGAACAGTGCCCACCAGAGATGTCTACATCTGAATCCCTGGAAACTGTGAATATGTTACTTTATGTGGCTAAAGGGACTTCGCTGGTATAATTAAGAATCTTGGGATGAGAGATTATCCAGGATTATCTCAGTGAGCCTGAATTGGAATTACAAATGTCTTCACGAGAAGGAGGCATGAGGGATTTCCTTCATAAGAGGAAAAGGCAATGTGATTATGTAAACAAAGACTGGGGTAATGTGATTTGAAGATGTAGGAAGGGCCACAAGCCAAGAAGAGTGGGTGAATGCTAGAAGTTGAAAAAGGGAAGGAAACAGATTCTCCCCTCAGGGCCTTCTGCTGACACCTTGACTTTGACCCAGTGAAACTGATTTTGGGCTTCTGACTTCCAGAACTCTAAGAGAACAATTTTTTTTTAAAAGGTTTTATTTATTTATTTGACAGAGAGAGAGAGACACAGTGAGAGAGGGAACACAAGCAGGGGGAGTGGAGAGGGAGAAGCAGGCTTCCCGCCGAGCAGGGAGCCTGATGCAGGGCTCGATCCCAGGACCCTGGGATCATGACCTGAGCTGAAGGCAGACGCTTAATGAGTGAGCCACCCAGGTGCCCTAAGAGAACAAATTTATGTTGTTTTAGCCACCAAGTCTGTCGTAATTTCTTATAGCAGCCATGGGAAACTAATGCATTCGTGGAAGTTTCATTCTAGAGGAGGAGATGGTAAATAATAATGACAGTAAACAAATCATATAGTATGTTAGAAGGTAATAAGTAATATGGAAAGGAGGGATGGTGGGGCAGGGTAAGAGGAATGGAGAGGGCCTGATCCATGCAGGGGTGCTGGTGAGCCATGGGGCAAGATTTACAGTATAAGAGGAGTCGGCAGAACAGACCTCATTGAGAAGGTGAAATGTGAGGAAAGACATGAGCTGGTAAAGGAGTTAGCTAAGTGGACATGTGTGAGAAATATTCCAGGTAGAGAGAGCAACAGTACAAGTACCCTAAGACAGGAGTCTGCCTGGTGTGTTTAAGGAAACAGGTGGGGTGATGAAAGTGGGAGGAAGAGGAGCAGGGAGAGCAGAGATGCGTAGGTGCGGGCTGATGAGCTGAGCTCTGGTCGCCCCTGTAGAGCATAATGTTAGGAAGAGGAAGCCGTTCTACAGATTTATTAGAATTCTTTTCTAGAAGATAACACATAGCTGGTCAATTCAGTGAAATCGTGTTTGATTGAAAAGCAATTATTGATAGGAAAAGCTAGACGAGGACCACAGACACAGAGGCATCTCCTCCATTAGTCTCAAAACACCGAACTGGATCGGAAGAATGAAATCAATCAACCGATTATGTGTGCGAGACAGAAGTTTTCCATTGCTTTTGAGTGTAAATATACAAGGACTCTCCTTGAAGCCAACTGCGTTTTAGCTGGTGTCACTGTCTGCTTTTTAGAAATTTTTGATTATTCTAAGGTCCAACTTTCATAATTTTGATGAAATATTTCTTAGTAAAAGAAATGGTTTTGGAATGACAGCATCCACTTTTGGTACAATCTGTATGTATCTGGATTCAATATATTTGAAACCGTGGCAGATTCTATGTGTGAAGCAGGGGTGTCAAAGACTAGTGGCTAACGTTTAGTTGCATGGGTCAGTTGCATGGCAGAATGCCTGGACTGATTGCTTTGAGCAGATATCTTGGCAAGTTGAAGGCATCATGACATGATGATTGCCAGCCTAGTCCTGGCCCAGTGGTTCATTTACTATTCCAGGCACCTTTGGCCTTTCAGTGGCAGCAAGGTTCACCCAATGTGTTTTCCATTCCACACCCTGATGTGGTTAAATTCTAAAATCACCTTCAGATGTGGTGTGGTTATGAGCTCAATTTCTCTTTCTTCTTCACATGTTATATTTGGATTATGTCTACCATGCCGGTTCTATCAAAGGCCTCTTGCCCACTTAAATCTTGGCTATATAACTTCATGACAAACGCACTCCTGAAACAATCTAGAATCATTGCATCAGAATTTTGTTCAAGCTAAACAAATAAGTATTTATAGAAAAAAATGAATAAACCAATGTTTGAATTAGCAGGGAGTGTCTGTCCTTGCTTTCCCTGGCTACTTTTAACTTCTAAGTTTTTGCAGATTCCTGGGCCTGTTCTGATATTAGATGGAGTTGCATCATCAGACTCAGACCATCAGCCAAGAGGATGGAGTTGCATCATCAGACTCAGACCATCAGCCAAGGGGAACTGAAGCAGATCCTCCCAGGCACTCGTATGCCCAGTGAGGTGAATCTTCCACTAATCCCACTACATTTAATCTTTATAAACAGGCTTCTCTCTTGGTTTCTTATTTTATGCTCTAGTTCCTTGTGTGATTGGTTCTCTGTGTAGAATGCTACTCCAACTGGCTGTTGACCAGACCACCTGCAGGTATATGGAGGGCCAGTTTCATTTAATGGGCCAAAGTATGATCAGGGGTTTGTATCCAGGTTCTCCAGAGAAACAGAGCTATTAGGATATATATAGGAACACCTGAATAGAACAAAAACACAGCCTTCTCCAAGGATATGATGTATATAATGTATGTATAATGTATGTATATATGTAATCCCTTTCTCTGTATGTATCTCTCTCTTTATATATATTTATGTACACACACACATACACACCTTAATGGTTTTTCTGAAGAACTTTGACCAATACAGAATCCTAAAGACCATTCTAACCTAGCATTTTCTCCTTTTTTTCTTTCCTTTACCTGTTGCTCTCCAGAGTGTAGATGGGGCATCCGAAGCTTAGAGGGATCCAGTGACTTGTCTGAGATGATCAGCTGATTGGTGACTGAGCTGGCATGTTGAACTACTGTTGGAGTGGGGAGAGGGGTGGCCTCAGTGATGACTAAGACATTGACCCTCTGGATACCTGGGATTGTTTGAAGGAATAGAGATGCCAGGAGAATGTATGTATTTTGAGACAAAGTTTTACCCTCATTCAGTTGTGTTTAAACCGCCAGCTCTGGCAGAGACATGCAGAAGTGTTCAGTGTGCAGAAGAGGTGCTCTGGAAAGGGAGACATTTCTGTCCGATGATTATCCTATTAAGAATAAAGACTCAATTATGTGAAAGAACAAACTTCCAACATGTGTGAAAACAGCAAAGTTTCTATTTGTCAAGGACACAGTGTTCTGACAGCAGTTTTGTTCCTTCTGCTTAGTGAGGACTGGCTCTGACTGACACTCACGAGTGAGCTCCTCTTACAGTCAGACAAGTCAAACTCTGAAAGCCAGCACTTTTTTGAACTTTAAAAAAGAAATTCATGACCATGCAGGGATTTCAATTTGATATTTAAAAATTTTACAATAGATGAAACAATGTCAACCATGTGAGAGTACGTTATAATGGGCTCTTAGAAAATGAGACGTGAATCTTCAGCTCTGCCCGAACATGGAACATACTGGGGAAAATATGGGTAATTAGTTGCATGATTCAGCTGAGAATGACTTTTCCTCTTCATTTCTTTTTCTGCCTTGTGTGTTGGATAATTTGAGAGTATTTTTTAATTTACTCAGCCTATAATTTTTGTCCTCTTCATATTGTCTAGAGAGATATAGTCATTGAGACAAGGGAAAAACACAAATGTATATATAATTATTCAATATACTTCAATGGACACCACCAAAGGAATTGTGCTAAGCTTTATGGAAGATACAAGAATACAGAGAACCCAGCCTCTTTTGTCAGTTTAGCAGGTAGAAAGATCTTAGTTCCATAAGGGAGAAATTGTTATAGGAATTTATTCACTCACTTACCAAATATTTACTCTTTGCATTAGGCACTATAACAGGGGCTGTATAGACGATTAAGATCCAGTGTTCAGTGTGGAAGCTGAGAAAGAAATGCCAAAAACAGGGAAAAAGTACGAGAATATAAAGCTTTTTCATTTCTTTTGTGTCTCTCTCAACTTCTCATGGTGTTTATATGCTATTTGATGTTCTAAGTAAATAAAACTCAAAATGTTAAATTATTAGCATGAATTTTATTGTTCATCTCTATATTGTGCAATGCCAACTCAAAAACAAATATCAGAACATTTCTTTTGTGTGGAGTCACCAAAATTACACAATTTGTATTTTGTGGCTTGTCCTTGGAAGGTGCCTCTAGCTGATCAGAGATAAACTTAAGACAGAATGAAGAAGGTAGGAAGGAAGAAGAGAAGATTCCTCAGGCATGGAGCTAACTGCGGGGGCGCTCAGGGCACAAGGATACTCATGGGGCTGGACAGACCATCACAGGCACTCAAGGGTCCTGCTCCATGATTTGGGGTGTGTGTGCATTTGCTTGGGCCTCATGGCTACTACTGAGTTCCTCTTCCCATCAGCCAAAGAACCTATAAGCAGCATCCCAGCAGGGGGCTGAGGCCATGGGAGTCAAGCCAGGGGTCCCTTATTTCCATAGGCCTACGACCCCAACCCCTGGTAGATGGACAGCCCCTAAAGATCTTAAACCTCTGTGCCAGGATATGGTTCAGTGCCTGGATGAGGTACAGAGGCTTGCCCCTATCCTGGCCAAGACAGATCTCACCTGGAATGGGAATGGCAGCAGCTAGGCCTAAGATGCCACAGGGTGTGTGCCTGACTCCAACCCTACCGAAGCTCATGGCAAGGCCCCTTTGTAGGTGAAGAGTGACAGCAGTTACAGATAGTGATAGAGTGGGGGAGGCTGGCTGGGGTGTGGGACAGGGGACTAGGTCATGGTGGACTGGTCCTAGGGCGGCCCATCCCAGGAAGATGTGATTGTGCAGGAGCCAGAGGTTCTAAGCCCCTTGTGCATGCTCCTTTGTACCATTGAACTTCTCTTAAAAACACAAATTCAAACAAAAATGATTCAGAATTTCAAGGTGGCACTGGCTACATACCCAAGAAGCTAGTCCCTACTCTGGAGTTCGGCTTTTTGATACTGTTTCCACAGCTATGATGGCTCCATCTTTTATGGAAAGCGGTTCCCTCTTTGTGCTGACTTAGAGGAATAGCAAGCTATCAATATTCTCCCCTTCAAGCTCTCTTTACTTGAATTGCAGTTCAAGAGATGAATTTTCAATTTTTTAAGGTATGATTTTCTTTATTTTTCCAAGGATGGTCTCATCATCCTTCATGGTAGTTGTAGATTTGCTTTGGATTTGGATACTGGTGTTTTGAAGCTTCATTAAAGTGAGGTTTCATGTAAAAGTGGTGGGCAAGTATTGAATGCAGTCAAGAAGTCAAGATGACCCTGATAACCACTTGACCACAAAAGGAAGTTTCATGACAACTGCCAATACGTGGACAACCCTGTGTGTCCAACTGCAGTGTGCAGGGGGGTTATGGCTGCTGCTTATCATTTTCAGTGAGGCAGTATGGCCATCGATTAAGGTCAAGGGAGGCACTGAACAGATCTGACACTGAGTTTCTCCTCTACCGTTACATGATTTCACCCCTTAATTTTTCTGTGCCTCTGTTGCCTCATGTGCAAAATGAAGATCGCATAGAGTTCTTGTGAAAGTTAGTTGAATCTACAAGTAAAGCATTTAGCATGGTACTTGAGACATAGTCAGTTCTCAATAGATGTAAATTCTATATCTTTTCATATACAAGCATGAACAAAAAACGTGAACAACACCGTGCTCCTTTTTGGTGCTTTGTGCTGGGGTCCACATTGCCTTCAGGCGTTTCCATGATGCTGCATCTGGTCCACTCCCTTCCATGCAACAAACTCTTGCTTGTTACCTTTACTCTTGTCATACACTATATGTCTTGTGTCTCCCCTGCTCAGGTCCATTTTTTTTTTTTTAAAGATTTATTTATTTGAGAGAGAGGGGGGAGAGACAGTCCCAAGCAGACTCTGCACTGAGCACAGAGCCTGGCAGGGGCTTGATCTCAATACTCAGATCATGACCTGAGCCGAAACCAAGAGTTGGATGCTTTACTGACTGCACCACCCAGTAGCCCACGTACTCAGGGGCATTAAAAAAAAAAAGTTTACTAGGTAGATTAAATTTGTTTCTTAGTTGGATCCTAGATACCTATATCAAATACTGAAGTCAGATAAGTCAGGAGGAAAAGTTCCAAAGAGCAAATAGGAGCCTGGAAAACGATGAAGGTGAAATGGAAAGAAAAGTTAAAAAAAAAAGAAAAAGAAAAAGAGAAGAGGTGTTAACAAGAACTAGCATGCCACTCTAGATTTTAAGTTTCTTGAGGGCAGAAACTGGAGCTACCTGGTCTCTGCCTCTTAAATGTCCTTAGCACAAATGCCTTGCTCACTTTAAGATCCACCTAATTCTTAGAATAAATAGCAAATAGTGATAAGCACCCAGGGCTCTGAGGGGAGGAGCCGGGAGCAGAGTCCAGGCTGAAGGGACGTGTGGGAACAGACAGGAAGTTTAAGAGGGTCTGCACTGCCCCCTGCTCCCTGAATGAAGCAGAGGGAATTGGGCACTTCAGGGTTTGGATTGTATCTCACTTTCAGCATAGCTGTGTGATCTTGGGCAAATAATTTATGCTCTCTGGGCTTTGGTTTCTCCATCTCTTCTCTGAATAATAAAGGTAAAAATAACTACCTGCTGGTGTTAATGTGTACATGAGAAGAGCCTGTCATAGTGCTGGGTGGGAAATAAAATATTATTGTTTTATTTTGCCTCCTTCCAATCATTCCCTCCTTTTTACCTCACAGACTTTCTATTCTGACATATGAAGAACTCTTGTTAACATAAAGAGTTAACACAAACATTAGTGCTAAAAATGTGCCACCGTTGGGTCTTGGATATTGTGAAAGAATGTAGATGGATTATTGAAAAACTTTTTGCACTGAAAGAAAAACAATACAGGCATCTGTCCTTCGGGTGGTAGGATTAGTGGAAACAAACCTTGTACATAAAGGACAGCACTTTATGTTTTATTAAACCTAGAGGCAATATGAAGAGTTGGTTAGAGTATGGGTTTTGTGGTCAGATAGCCTTGGTTTTGTCACATGCGCTTGCCATTCTAATCAGGCAAGTTATTTTTTTATGCTAAACCCTGAAGCCTGAATAGGAGACAGGCAACGCATGAGGGGTTGGAGGAAGATTCTTAAATATAGGGGGAATGAAGGCCAAGAGACAGGGTTCGGGACCTGAGAATGTCAGTGGTGCTGAGGCATTGAGTTCTAGGGCTGAAGAATGAGAGTTAAGCATTGGGGAGAAGTAGCTGAATAGATTAGGAAGGGCCTTGAAAACCATGTTAAAGCATTCAGAGATCTTAAGAGTGACAATAGCACTTCCCAAACAGTACTTCCCACTGAGACCAGAGTCCAGAGGAACTGCTGAGCATTGTCCCTTCCAGAAGCTTCACAATGCACATTAGTATCTGTTAATGTTCTTCAATAAACAATTCCATTTCACGTTTGTTTAATAGCTTTCCCAAACCTAATTAATGTTTTTAAGAAATTAACCTCTTACGAACTGAGGCCCCAGAGAACCTGCTTGAGGGGAAATGATGATAAATGGAAAGCCATTTCAAGGTTGTAAGTTGGGGCCCAACATAACCATATTTGCAGTTTATAAATGTATGGTAATACCTACCACATATGGAGCACCAGCTACTCTTCAAAGCATTTACCTAATTTAACTTAATTTAATTCTTATAACAAGTCCATGAGGTAGGTATTGTTATTTTTTACATTGTTAAGATGAGAAAATCAAGGCATAAAAGAATTAGGTAATTTCCTAAGGTTATGGAGCTAGTTGGGCCTTGAACATGAACTTGGCCAGTCTGGTCTTGGAACCCCTACTCAACAGATGAATCTGACTGCACAGGGTAATGGATTAGAGTCAAATAAGCCTGGAGACAGTTGGGAGGAGGTTGCTGCCATAATGCAGGTGAGAAATGATGGCTACTTGGACTTCCTACATTTGCTTAGAAGATTAAGTATTATAACATAATTAAAGTATCTACACTAGTTTTTACTATATGGTAGGCAGTCAACAAATAATAGTTTTCCCATGAATATATGGAAACTTGATATATGAGAGATATAAATTCCAGAATAGTGATGAAGGGGGGCATACAAGTTTGCTAGGGTTGCCACAACAAAATACCACAAACTGGGTGGATTAAATACAAAAATTTATTGTCTTACAGTTCTGGAGGCTAGAAGTCTAAAATCAAGGTGTTAGCAAGGTTGGTTCTTTCTGAGGGTTGTGAGGAAAGATTCTGTTCTCTTTCCTTGGCTTGTAGTTGACCACCTTCATGTTCACCTTGTGTTCTCCCTGTATGTGGGTCTATCTCCAAATTTCCTTTTTTTATTAGGACATCAGTCATATTGGATTAGGGCCCACCCCAATGTCCTCATTTTAACTTTACTACCTCTGACCTTATCTCCAAAGAAGGTCACATTCTGAAGTACTGGGGTTTAGGACTTCACAATTCAATCCATAATAGAGGGATTATTTAGTAATAACATTATGAAAACCAGGTATCTATATGGAGAAACCCCCTGGATTCCTACGTCACATAATACTCAAAAATCATTATCTGAAAGATCGAAGACTTAAATATGGAAGGCAAGAATGTTAAAATGTTTAGAAAATATATAGTAGAATATCTTTATAATCTGGAAAAACTTTTAAAATGTGATATAAGGGGTGAATTGCTGGGAAGATGGCAGAATTGGAGGACCCTAAGCTCACCTTGTCCCATGGATACAACTAGATAACACCCATATCACTATAAATAACCCAGAAAACAACATGAAGACTGGCAGAACAAACCTTACAACTAAATGTGGAGAAAAGGCCACATCAGAGATGGTAGGAAGGGGAAGGTGAGGTGGGAAGGGACTTGTGGGCACAGAGAGGGTAGAGAAAGAGACTATCACACTGGGAAGCTTGCATAGGGCAGATGAATCCCTGTAACATTTGGTATTGAAAACCAGAGGGGCTGAATTTCATGAACTCTTACAACCAGCA